GGATCCTCCGAGACCGGGGCGGGAACCCGTGTCCCCTGCATCGGCAGGCGGACTCACAACCACTGCGCCACCAGGGAAGCCCGCGTTTCTGTTTTTAACACAACCTTATATCCCTTAAATCTATTACAACGTTAATAGATTGAGCTAAAGTGAGTAGTGATATTCCCGTGTTCTAGAGGAGGGAGGGTGTCAAGCCCCAGTGTCTTCCCCTGGGTTACGTAGTTAGTAAATGACAGCGCTGGTAATGGAATGCCTGATTCCAAATCCACTGGTCATAGCAGCTTTTGTAACTTATCAATTCTACTTTACCTACCCCCAGGCCTCAGTTCCCTCATCTGATAAATGAGAGGGCATGTTTGTGTTTTTAATATTTGAATTTATTTAAATCTTTAGCCAAGAAACCCTTTGATCAAACAAAATCTTACCTTGGAGCCACTGTGTACCACAGATAAAAGCTGAGCTGTAGAGCGCTGTGTTTGAAAACCACTGGTTTCCGTGATCTCTAGGCCTCCCACCAGTTCTGGGAGCGCAGAATGCATCCATGATTCTGCTCTCACAGGGTCATCGAGTGGAGCTGTGATGCCTTAGGAACCTGCACCCATTAGTCCATTTAAAATCCTGGGAATCCACGAAAGAGGAGAGGTTCATGATGGAAATGTATTATGATGATTATTTGGCCTCAAACAAAAGAAGCATTTGATAAAATGCTTTTGAAAAGAGATTCTACTGATTGCTAAAAAGCAGAGGGCGGTGTAGGCTGTGTGCACAAGTAGTAGGGATCCCTAGCACAGAATCCTTATTCCCAAGGAAGAGAAGCCACTTTGAGTGGGTGGGTGTGGGAGGAAATGCAGAAAGCTGAGATGCTGCAGGTTAAGCTGAAAAGGCCACAGAAATGATTTCTGTGTCACGATTGTCTCTCCACAAAAGCACACCTTTCCTCTAGATATCCTGCACTCATCCATATGAAATGTCTGTACCCATGAAAACAAAGCCATCCATCCACACGTGTATGTGGCTTGTACATGTGTACTTTCCTCCTTTTCCTTTGCAACCCGTAACCTTAATGACTCAGCCCCAAGTAATTTGGAGGAATTCATGACTGGCCAAAGGTCAAAGCCATTGATTCCTTCATGGCTCGAGAGTTAGTGGTCACATAGGACCTAGTTTACACACATAAATGGGGGTCTACGCCTCCTTTATTGGGAGGGAACCCTTCTACTTTTAGTCAAGAAAATGAAATCATTTTCACTTTTTAATTAGGTGTTCGTATCTGACCCAAATTCTGGTTCTTTGAAAGGACTGTTATCTCCTCCGAGATCAACAGAGCCCTCTGCAGGATGAGCTGTGTGGCGGGGAGAGCTGGACTGACCAAAGCAGCAGCGTCATTAGGGCCAGTCCCCTGCCCTCAGCCAGCCCACTGAGTAAATCCATCAGTACCGTCGTGTGTATCCTCCCAATCTTACACAGCCGTCCACTCAGCACCTTGTGGATATCGAAAACTATTTAGGCAGACAGCGTCTCTCAAGATTTGAATTAGATGCTCTTACTGACAGATGGGGAAACTGAGGCATTGAGAGAATAATGCTTATACAGCCATCCAAGGGTCAGGAATCAGTCTGAACTCGTGCATGTCTAACTGTCTATAACAAGGTTCCTGAGGAGTCAGAGACTCCTGTTTCAGCACCTTAACAGAAAACATATTAATATATTAAAAATATATATAGTTTTTTTCCTCTCAATTCACTGATCCTCTTTATGTGTTGAGAGTAAGTGTAATATGCTACATAAGAGCATAAGATTCGGAGCCAGTCTAGAGTTCTAATTCTACCATTTGCTGGCTGTGTGACCTTGGCAAGTTAATTAACTTCTCTGTGTCTTAGTTTCTATAAAAGGGGGCACTAAAAGCACCCACCTCGTACGTTTGCTGTAAAATCACTTATATATTGTAGACGTTTAAGCCTGACCCTGGTACTTATCGAGAGCTTTGAAGGCATTTTTTAGAAAAAAAAGAAAGCCTAATATACCTGAAATTTCCTTGTAGGTTTTATGGAAAGTATCAAGCTTCAGATATCTATAGACAGATGATTGCTAGCTAGCTAGCTAGATAGATGACAGATAGATGATAGATAGATATCCCAACCATTTAGCCTGTTTTTCCTGCAAAATGATCAACCCCTTAATTTTTTAACTTTCCCAATAGTTGAGTGGGGGATTGAGTAGGAGGTATTAGATCAGAAAACAACAGCTCAGGTTTTAGTCCTGTCTCTTGTTACTCATGGACTGTTCTACCTTCAGAAAATGATATTCCCACTCGAGGCTTCAGTTTCTCCAAATGTAGAACAAGAAAGCTGACCTAGATAATTTCTTCTAAGGCTGTGTCACCTTGTAGCACATGCTGACATACTGAAACTCAGCATCACAAACTGAGGCAGAAATCTTCACCCAGGAGACCCAAGAGTTCGTCCCCATCTGGAGTTTCCCAAAATGTGACTTGATGTAAGGTGGTCCCAAAATATGACTTGATGTAAGGCGGTCCACACATGCAGCTTCCAATGAGAGTGGGGCACACAGTGGGGAGGGTGATCGATGTCAGTTCTCTGTCGATCCTGAAGATTGCATCAAAGAGAATGTCTCAGTTGCTGCTAATATCCTTTCATATCTATCACTTGCTCCTTCCCTAAATTTCAAAGTGAGAGCAGGCACAGGGGTTCAGTCATTGAGCAGGCCACAGCGTTTGGCTAGAATTTATTAATATCATTTTCATTATATTTATTTTTACAGCTTTATTTTTATAGCTCCCGTTTTACCGAGGGCATTTGATAGTGATTCTCTACTTGGATTGGATAAGCATTTGTTTTAATTGATTCAAAGATAAGTACAAGTAAATATAAGTACAAGTGAATGTCATAAAGTTGGCATTCAAATGACAGAAGTTTGGGCAGCCCTGTCTGAGGCAAGGATGCGGGATGCAGGTTCACTCCTGCCGTAGCAAAGTAAAAGACCCGTCAATGAAAACACAGTGGCCTCTTCACTGCCTGCTAGGAGTGGAGCAGGCTAGTTCCATGTTTACAGGCCACCAACGAGTTGGCTTTATTGTGCGCCTGCTTTGCTTGTGGATGGGGCTAAGCATTTGCGCCTCAGATGGGGGCTGTGTCATGCTCAGCCCGCCTTCTTGGCCTTTGTCTCTTGCTAGATGAGTTTAAATCGTTCATGAAGCGTCTCCCTAGCAACCACTTCCTGACCATTGGGAGCATCCATCAGCACTGGGGCAACGACTGGGACCTGCAGAACCGCTACAAGCTCCTGCAGAGCTCCACGGAGGCCCAGAGGCAGAAGATCCAGCGCACTGCCCGCAAGCTCTTCGGCCTCAGCGTCCGCTGCCGCCACAATCCCAGCCACCAGCTGCCTAGAGAGAGGTGAGTGCTGGCCCACCTACCATCTCCGCAGGCTCAGACCTGGTGCAGGGGCACATGTACTACAGAAGAGGTATCTGGAGCTCATGGCCTTGCATGGTCCTGACCCACAGTTTTTCTGGATTGTCTCTGGCTTCTCCCCTACTGCCTCTGGCTGCACTGGATTTCTGTTTCCTGAAAATACCCTGAACTTTCAGCCTCTTGTAGTCTGTCTGATCCATCTGACAGATGAAGGAAATTAGCAGTAGCCCTGACTGCTAGGTGACATTATTCTGGTTGCTTAAATGTATTACCTAACTTGAAAATTACTTGGCAAAGCAGATTTTAGCATCCCCGTCTTAACGGTGAAGAAACTGGGTTAACTGATGAATCAAACAATTTATTGACTGAGGGCCTTTGCTCAGGGGCTGGAGTAGAGTGAAGCAAAGGAGGCACCTACCATGAAGGGAGCACTCCCTCCCCTGGTCACGTGAGGACAGGGTCCTCACCTGAGAGGGAGCGCCTCCTCAAGTGCCTACCTGCCTCGCTGGCCTCAACCTAGTGCCAGCCCTGCTCTCGATGTACCAGGTATTCTGAAGAATGATGGAGAACACAGGGGTGAACAAGCCAGACAGGGCTCATGCCTTCATAGCACCTAGGGTTTATCAACTCTGTCAGGGACCCACAGAGAAGGAGCTAGAATTCAGATCCAAGTCTCTCAGACTCCACTCTCCCAGGGCATTCATGAGCTACATCTGGGGGTTTTCTGTATTTGTGTCTCCAGGGTTTCCATGAAGGCATCATGGAAGAGCAGGAAAGCAGGCTTGGGGTCTATCCACCCTGTGTCTGCCAGAGTGCTGATGCTTTCATCTGTTTCATATTTGGGGATTCCACATTCAACTTTATTCAATGAAAATAGATCCACTCTTAAAAAGACTGAGGCTAAGTCATCTTCACTTAACAGATTCTGTGTCAGCCACATATTTTATCCACAGTTGCTACCCGCATTGTACAGATTAGAAAACTGAAGCTCAGAGAGGGCAAGGAATTGGTCCAAAACAGCAGTGTAAGTCAGTACTTCTCAATGGAGGTGGCTTTGTCTCCAGGGAACATTTAGAAAGGTCTGAAGACATCTCTGAGTGTCATAACACATGTGAGTGCTACTGCAGTCCCCACAACAAACAGTGATCTGGCCCCAAAAGTCAACGATGCTGATAAAAGAAGAGACAAGATACCCCGACTCTTTGACTCTAAGTACTGTGTTCTTAATCACCCTGCTCTACATGCACTCAAAATTTAAAAAGCACCAAACTCTTTAAAAAGTCCTCCTCTATCCCAACCACCCTCACCCAAGCACTCATTTTCCTCTCGATTTTCTAGACTCAGATCAAATGCTGCCTCCTTCAGGAAGTCTTTCCTGATTACACCAGCCAATATGGAGGGCCCCTTATTTTAAGTTCCCATTAACCTAAAACCCACACATTAGTCAGCAGATTTTCTTCTATTTCCCATAATAAAACCTCCTCCTTTTGCACTCGTCCATGCTCATCTCTGTTCTCCCCATTCCCCCCAACTTGGAGCCCCTTTCTTTTCATCTAGCTTGTGATCATTGTGAAACAAATGGAATTTCAGCCGGCAGTGGCTTAATTCTTGAAATGCTGCAGAACCAGGGACTAGGAAAGGGGCCCAGTCACAGAATAGCTCCCTTGTCATCTGTGACAATTGCCCAAACTGCCACCATGAGTGAGGGTCTGAAGTGGATTCCATTTAGACCCACTGAGCATCAGTCACGTGACCTGCACCGGGCACTGGGGGAGATTCGGAAGTGAGCACGGTAACAGTGCCGTGAAAGATGTCTCTTAAAGGAGTGAGGAGATCTGTTGGCAGTCGGGAAGAACTCCCCACATATAGTAGCTTGCTAGGGCCGCCATAGCTAACTACCACTGACTGAGTGGTTTAAACAACAGAAATATATTATTTCCCAGTTGTGGTGCCTGGAAGTCTGAGACTGAGGTATTGGTTATTCCTGAGGCCTCTCTCCTTGGCTTGTAGCTGGACATCTTCTCCCTGTGTCTTCACAGGGTGTTTTCTTTCTGTGTATCTGTGTCCTAATCCTCCTTTCTTATAAGGACACCAGTCCTATTGGGATAGGGCTCACCTCAATGACCTCATTTTAACTTAATTACCTCTTTAAAGACCTTATCTCCAAATAGAGTCACATTCGGAGATACTGTGGGTGACAATTTGAATGTATGGATTTTGGGGGGATATAATTGAGCCTAGACACCACAAGAGGTGGCTTTTGATCAGATGCCTAAGTGAAGAAATGGTGCATCCCCAGGCTGACCACACTGGCTGTGCACCTGGGCAAAAGAGTTCACACTTAACCATTACCAGACTTTAAACAAAAGCACCTGTCAGTGTTGCTGGTTGTCACTCCAGAGAATGAAGTGGAAAGTCCAGAAGCCCAAAGACACGGGGAAGACACATTAATTAAAGGTGAGCAGAGTGTCCAGGGCACAGAGTATAGAGCACCATTGAGCACACTGGGTCTAGGGAAGGCTCAGGAGGGCTCCAGAGGAGAGAGGAGCTGGCCAGGCCTTAGAAGGGAGGAAGGAGGGACAAAATCGGGTGACGGGAAGAACACAGAACAGAATCGGCGATTGGATGAGATTGCACCCTAACCTTAGCAAGCTGTGGACCTTGAGCAGGTCGCCTCACTATTCTGAGTGCAAAACCTGTCCACATCTGTAATTTGCTCTTCCTCTGCAAGGCACAGACAGCTAGAAATACCCTGCCACCGCTGGGACCTGCAAAGAAAGAACTCGCAGTGTTGTCATCTCTCCTCCTGAGATGAGAAAACTTGCCCTAATCATTACATCCCTCCTTCACTCACCTGGAGAGGGTGCCTGGAATTCCGCTTTGGCATGTCACTCAATTATATTCATTTAGTATGTATTGGGTACTGGGGTGGGCAGGGGACATAGAAATGCAGCTCTGTGCTGATTTGTCTGAAGCCTTCCCAGGAGAACTGAACCTCCTTGCTGGCTGTGGGCTGCTTCCTGCCATCTGAACCAGAGGCTTTAATGAGCGTTTCTCACACCAGCAGGCAGGGCACCTCCCTGCCACGGAGCAGTGTCAGACAGAGGTGCTAACGCTGGGGACCGTGGGCCACCTGAGCTGAGCAAGCTGGAATTTGCAAATGAACCACTTGCTCTGCTGCGATTTGTCTGTGTCCTGGGCTCCATGGGGGCTGAGTCCACCAAGCAGATGCCATCACCTGTGTCAAGAAGGGTGGCATTGTTGGGTGGGGGTGGGAGAGGGAAAGAGCCTGGGTCTTTAGCAGCACACGGACTGGATCCAAATCCTGGCTCCGTTTACTAGCCACAGGGCTTTATGTACCTCATTTGCAACGTGGGAGAATTACGCTAGCCTTCAGATTAAGTATGAGGATTAAGATTTTAAAATTCAAAAAGCCTGACTCAGTTAATAGAGAGTTGTCACTTAGTGCGGGTTTCCCCCACAATCCGAAAATAGAGCTTTTCTGTGAAACCTTTCATAAGCTGAAATGCCATAAAGCAAAGAAGCAATTACCTTTTTTCATAAAAGCTAAAATCCTTGGATTTCTTTAGGTTAGTGAAAACATGTCTCTTGTAAGATCTTTTGTAAAAGCGAAGTGGCATAAAGCAGACTTTTGAAAAGCAGGGGACACCTGTATATGGATTCTAAAGATCAGGCACTGTTCTAAGCATCTCATGTGAATTAACTCACTTCCCCCTCACTGCAACGTTACAGACTAGGTCCTCTTACTATTTCTGCTCTACAGATAAGGGAACTGAGGCACAGACAGTTTAATAATGTACCCAAGGGCAATAAATATTATTTTATTGTTACTTCAAAGAGGTGTTTACCTATAAAATCTAGTGAGAAGTCAAATATAGATAATTGGTTTGAAGGCATACTGGGACTTTAATATTGAGCTGGATGGCCAAAGGGGGTTTCTGCTTTTCAGTTGTTGCCAAACAATTCACCCAAGACTTCTGGGCTCAAAACAACACTTATTATCGACTCTCAGGATTCTGTAGACTGACTGGGCACAGCTGGGGCTCCCTCAGGTTGGCTGGGGCTGGGGTCACAGGGGGCCTTGACTGGACGTCCAAGATGGCTCACTCCCAGGGCTGGCAGGATGCTGGCTCTACACGTAACCTCTCCAGGTGGCCTGGGCTTCTTGAAACACGACAGCGTCCTGAGACTAAAAGGAAACGGTAAGGCTTCTTACAGCTTAGCTTTGGAAGTCAGAGAGTATCACTTCCACCATATTCTATTGGCCAAAAGCCCAGCCCAGGTTCAAGCGGGTGAATACTGGGGGTTGTGGGTCACTGGGGGCAGAGGGAATCTCTTTGGAGATTAAGCACCACAGGATAAATTGAGTATAATTGGAGGTAGAGGTGACTATCCTATATATGGGGCAAATAAGATGAATGATAATAATAATCACAATCACAGAGCAATAACAAACACTTAACTGAGCAGCTATTATAATAGGCAATAGAGCTGGCTATGTATGCCTGGGTTCAAATCCCAGATTTATTGCCTGCTCACCTTATAACCCTGGGGAAGTTACTACCACCTTTGAGCCTCAATTTTCTCATCTATAAAATGAGGCTAATAATAGTGCCAATCTCATAAGGTTGTTCTGAGGATTAAATGCTTGAACCCACATAAAATGTTTAGAACAGGGCCTGGCACATAGAAAACACTCGATACATGTTAAGCTATTTTTCTTATTTTTACCAGGCACTGATTTTGCATACAAATTGCTTAGCCCACAGTAATATTCAGTGAGTCTGAGTGTTGATGATAATGATGACGTGTAGTTTTTTCATCTAATCTTCACATTATCTCTATGAAGTGGATGCGATTGGATTTGTTTTACAGGTAAGGAAACTGACGAGGCAGAGATGGAATTAACTTGTCCAAGGTCACAGGGCAGATAAGCAGCAGGATTGGAAGGGTCTTGCTGA